ATCTTCCAAAAAACGAAAAGCTGATGGATCTGATGCAAAGAATGACATATGCTTATCATTCAAAAAGTATTTCTTGTATGAATTTATGGTGACTAACAGTTGTACCATTCCACAGTTCTATGGTAGCATTTAAAGAATTTCACATGAAATTGTCACGATACAAATATGTTCAAACACAAACATACACACACACACTAAAAGAGGAGATACCAAGTATTCAGCGAGTTTTACATAACTCCTTTGTTAGGAGAGAAAAAAGCACCTTTAGATAACTGCTGTCCTAAATCTCTCAGATTAATCTGACTTTCCACTGATGAATCAAATTTAAGAAAATGTAACTTTTTAGAATTTTCAAAAACTAAGATTTTTTTCATTGACATTTTCTGACAAGTCTTAGAGTTTATGTATCTCTGCATTTATACATATTAATACAGGAGTAATCTAAGGCAATTAATTTGAAAGTCAGATATATATTTCCATTTATTTTCTTGAAAGATAAAGACATAGTTAAACATGTTTGCAGTAAAATAAATTGGTAAAATTTCTTTTTGATTTAATCTTCCCTTTTTTTTTTTGAGACAGAGTTTTGCTCTTGCATTCCCAGGCTGGAGTGCAATGGCGTGATCTTGGCTCACTGCAACCACCGCCTTCTGGGTTCAAGCGATTCTCCTGCCTCATCCTCTCAAGTATCTGGAATTACAGGCATGTGCCACCACGCTTGGCTAATTTTGTATTTTTAGTAGAGACGGGGGTTTTCCCACATTGGTCAGGCTGGTCTTGAACTCCCAACATCAGGTGATCGGCCTGCCTTGGCCCCCCAAAGTGCTGGGATTACAGGTGTGAGCCACCATGCCAGGCCTAATCTTTTCTCATAAAGGTCATACAGCTGGCTAAAATTGCTGATTGCATTCCTGAATTTCTGTTTTCCCACAATGTCTCGTTTTACATTTTTCTTTACACAACTTTTGGAATCCTTTTACTTTTCACTCAGCTCTCCTCTTCCCCAACCAAAATGTCTTCTGCTCAGATTAAATTCACTTACCAAAGGAAGAAATACATGATTATTTTCCAGAGGTAGTTTCATTTGAAAAGAAAACTGTTTTCTAAATAAATCTCTAATTGGCCAAATTTCAGACAATCTAACAGTCTCACTAGATTTCAGGTCTTTTCCATGCCTCTTAAAACATATTCCTAGGTAATTGTCTAGTGCAGTGGCTTTTCAAACTTTTAAAAGCCATTGAATTCTTTCTTCAAACAAACTTAGGCAGCAGCTCAGTGAGCAAAAGAGCTAAGAGGCTAAAGTACTCGGCTCAACAGGGATGGGGGCCCAGGACCCTCCCCACTCACCTCTGCTTCTCTCCACCAGCCTCTGCTGCAGAAGAACACACCCCAGAACAACCCCAGCAAAAGGCCAGCCCACATTTTCACCCAAATGCACACACATAAGGTGAAAGAATAGATGATTCATAAGTAGAGAGCCCATTCTCGGGCATCCAAAAGGAGCCTGTAGACGTCTGTTGCCATAATAAATCACATTCACATATTTAAAAACATTTTGAGAATGTGCCAAAACAAAAGTGAATGGAGTGAAACATCTCAGGTTTGAAGCTTTCGTGTGTGATGTGGTTGTGTTGTGAAACCAACATGGGCAACTGTGTTCTTGAGCCAACATCCCTATTACTAGTGCCTTTAGAAGTGGTTTTCCCCTTAGTTGGGTTTTCCCTTATTCCAACTTTAAATTTCATCCAACCTCAAAATAATTTTCTTGTCTGAAACAAGAGTTCCAGGGGTATTTTCCTAGCGAAAAACAATGTGGAAGATGGCCTCCAGAAAGGCCATGCTCTTCCACTGACTGCTGGTCTCCAGGTCTGCCTTTCCCATCCCACAGGCACCTCACACCCAGCAGCACCTAAATAGACACTTAGAACTTCCTTCAAAGCTTGTGCCTCCTCGGGAGGCTGGGGTGGGAAAAAAAAAATTAAAAAATAAAATTAAAAAAGAAGCTTGTCCCTCCTCTTAGTTAATGGTTCTTACTGCCTATCCGGTCACGAAGCTAAAAGTCACCCTAAAGACAGCAGCCATTAAATAACTGGGGCTCAGCCGGGCGCGGTGGCTCATGCCTGTAATCCCAGCACTTTGGGAGGCCGAGGCGGGTGGATCATGAGATCAAGAGATCAAGACCATCCTGGTCAACATGGTGAAACCCTGTCTCTACTAAAACACAAAAATTAGCGGGGCACGGTGGCGCGTGCCTGTAATCCCAGCTACTTGGGAAGCTGAGGCAGGAGAATTGCCTGAACCCAGGAGGCGGAGGTTGCGGTGAGCCGAGATCGCGCCATTGCACTCCAGCCTGGGTAACAAGAGCGAAACTCCGTCTCAAAATAATAATAATAATAATAAATTACTGGGGCTCTAAGGTAGGCATATCATGTAGATGAGGATTTTTCGACTTCGATGTTATTGACACTCGGGGCAGGACATCTCTGTCATGTGGGCCTATTCCGTGCATTGCAAGATGTTCAGCAGCCTCCCAGGCCTTTATACACTAGATGTTAGTAGCACCTACCCTCTGTGAGGCTTCACAATCATTGTGAAGCCTCCAGACATTGCCAGATGTCTGCTAGAGGAAAAATCAACTCCATTTGAGAACCACTGATGTGGGCGATCTCGATTCCTCATAATACCCACATGAAGCAGAGGAGGACACTGGGCCTCTGGAGGAATTAAGAGACTTGGACTTGGTTGTGTGACCAGTATGCGGCAGAGCTGGTTTCAAAGTACTGCAAAAGCCATCTCCCCTTCTCCTGCCGCCTTCCAGTACTTAATTCTCCCTTTCATCTAGTTTTTATCTATGCTAATCTCTCATGTGAAATGTCTTTTATGTTTTATTTATTTGTTTTGTAGAGATGAGGTCTTACCATGTTGCCCAGGCTGGCCTTAAATTCCTGGCCTCAGGTGATCCTCCTGCCTCAGCCTCCAAAAGTGCTGGGATTATAGGGGTGAGCAACTGAGCCTGGCCTATGTGAAATGTCTTAATTTTGCTTCCTGCTTTCTGGATTGCCTTAGCTCAGATCTGTAGTTCTTTCCTAGACATAATTAGGCTCTGAATTTATCTTCTCGATTTCAATCTCTGCCTCTCACTGTTAGTAGCTAACGTTGTCAAACATATTATTGCATGACTGCCCTATTGAGAAACTCCTGTGCCTTCCCCATTGCCTACAACCGTGGTTCCCAAAGGGTGATCTTGAGACTGGCATCAATGGTATCAACTGGAAATTTCTTAGAAATGCAAATCCTTGGGCCCCATTGCAGACCTGAATCAGAAACTTTTTTTTTTGGAGAGTCTCTCTCTGTCACCCAGGCTGGAGTGCATGCAGTGGCATGATCTCAGCTCACTGCAACCTCTGCCTCTTGGGTTCAAGCGATTCTCATGTCTCAGCCCCCATGGTAGCTGGGATTACAGGCACCCACCACTATGCCTGGCTAAGGTTTAGTAGAGGCAGGGTTTGGCCATGTTGGCCAGGCTGGTCTTGAACTCCTGACCTCAGGTGATCCTCCTGCCCTGGCCTCCCAAAGTGCTGGGATTACAGGTGTGAGCCACCGTGCCTGTCCATAAATCAGTTTTAAAACACCCTTCACCGAGTGGTTTAGATGCTTACTGAAATTTGTGAAACTCTGGCCTACTCTACAAAACTCTAATGCCTTAGGATGGCTTAGAAACCCTGACTGCCTTTCCTACCGTTGATCCTTGTCATTATTTTCTACTCTCCTGTCCCACCCTTGCCCACCCTTCAATTTCATTCTTTTGCTAGCTATCAAACCTGCATTTGTCTTTCTGTTCTAAGCACCAATATTATAAGGAAGACAGTCCAGCTCCTAAGTGCCTTGCTGACCTAAGGCTGTGGTGCTCCAGCCACATGACAAACCCTGGAATTAGGTACACACCATGTCACTTTGAGTGACAAGCGTCTGCCATAGCATCTCCTTCTTCCTGGTGAATTCCTATGTCTTTGGTGGCTCATTCTCAAATGTCCCTTTTCCTGATTTACTCAGAAGGCTAATCCCTAGCTTCCCTGTGCCTCCACAGCTGTCATTTCATTTATCCCAGAGTGGCATTCCCATTTGTTTACCTGTCTCCTAGAATACTCCCAGAATGCAGGTAATGTGAGGGAAGAGCCTTCACTCATCTTTGTGTAGGACAGCATTGTGACACTGGCGAGAATACTGGCACACCTCAGAATCATCTCAGAGCTCTTCAAAAATATGAATGCCATAGTTCACCCACGGACCTACAGAAACTGAGTCTTGCAAGTCCATATATATATATAAATATATATGTATTTTTAGATGGAGATTCGCTCTTGTTGCCCAGGCTGGAGTGCAGTGGCGCAATCTCAGCTCACCACATCCTCCGCTTCCTGGATTCAAGGGATTCTCCTGCTTCAGCCTCCCAAGTAGCTGGGATTACAGGCCTGCGTCACCATGCCTGGCTAACTTTGTATTTTCAGTAGAGACGAGGTTTCTTCATGTTAGTCAGGCTGGTCTCAAACTCCCGACCTCAGGTGATCCACCTCTTTTGGCCTAGGAAAGTGCTGGGATTACCGGCGTGAGCCACCGTGCCTGGCCACAAATCCATATTTTTAAACAGCCCCACATCACCATCGCACACTGCTCTGCACAGAGCAGGTATTTAATAGCTCTCCAATGTCTAGTGAATTACTTAGCAAGGCTGCCTGGAGAATCATGTCTACCTTACTTCATCTTCGCCGGTTTTTGGTTTTTGTTTTCTTTTGATTTCAGTTTCCATTTCCTGTAACTTGAAAGTATCTGCGTTGGTAACAGCCACACAGCAGTCATTCCTGATGACAGGCAACATTTTGTTGAGATGATTTTAGCTACTAACCTAATCTCTGGTCTTTTAAGGTTACTATTTTTTTTATAGCCTCAAATATCCAGCGGTAACCTTAAATTAGAGTTACCTGTTAACAGTTTCTCAATTATGTTTCAGGATTGCAGTCACTTTACGGGCCAGTCGCTCAACAGGTGTCCGTGGCTGGTCACAGTTATTCTGATTAACCTCTAAGGTGGACTGTGAGACTTTAAACGGTCTCACCTGTAGCGACCCAAGCCGGCTCCAGTCAACATCCCCCCGCCGTTAACTGGGGATGAGGCCGGAGGGCGCCTCCGTGGAGAAAGGATGGGGAAGTTCTCTGGGGCGGCGCAGTCTGCAGCTGACACCGGGAAACCGAAACTCAGCCGTTAAAAGCGCTGCCCTTGCACTTTGGAATCGCATCTCGAGACTCGCGGGGCGCCCCAGCCGCTCCCCTCCAGCAGCGGCCGGCGGCGCGGGACCCGCGGGCTGTGAACCATGTACACCCGCAGCCGAGTGGCGAGCTCCGGGCTCGGCGCCTGCCCTGCCTCCCGCCCGGCCCGGGACCCCCGGGACCCCCGGGACCCCCAGGACCCTTATGGGCGGCACGGGGAGCTGGGCCCGCTGCAAGACCAGAGACACGGTTTGGAGGCAGCCCCCGAGAGCCCTTCGCGGGAGAGCATCGTGCAAGCGGCTCGGAGGCAGTAAGTGTTTTAACAACCTGTTTTGGGGGCGGGAGCCCGGGCCCCAAACGTACTCACAAGCACCTTCATGGTCCTTGGAGTTTGAAACCACAGGGATTTTGACTGAATGAAAAACTCATTTGCTTTAATGAAAGCACTCATGCCTTTCCTTATAAACTGAGTCAGCTAGTTTGCAGCCCTTCGGTAAATACTCAGGCGGGTTCCTTCCAGGAACATCACTCTCCTGACTTTGGTGACTGACGACAGAGTTGAAAGACGCGGTGTTTAGAAACCCCCTAGGCATCCAGTACGATGTCATTTTCCAGGTATCTCCAGAACTCATACTCCAACCAGTATGGAAATGGGTTTTCCCTTACTGTTTTTAAAAACGTGATGCCTGGTAGGGCGCGTTGGCTCAAGCCTGTAATCCCAGCACCTTGGGAGGTCAGGGCCGGCGGATCACCTAAGGTCAGGAGTTCGAAACCAGCCTGGCCAATATAGTGAAACCCCGTCTTTACTAAAAATAAAAAATGAGCTGCATGTGGTAGCACGCACCTGTGGTCCCAGCTACCTCGGAGGCTGAGGTAGGAGAATAGTTTGAACCTAGGAGGCGGAGGTTGCAGTGAGCCGAGATCACACCATTGCACTCCAGCTTGGGCAACAGAGTGAGACTCTGTCTCAAAACAAAACAAAATAACAAAATTTGGTGCCCTAATTGGAATTACTATATCAGACACCAGCAGGTAAGGGTCAACAGGAAACGTGACATGGTGTAGAAAATTCAGATTCTGCCTCTAGCTCGGAGCAAGCCTGAATCCCAGCAAGACTCCCAGATAAACTAGCCTCTTAGAACCAGAGGAGTGGAGCTGAGACAGTGAGGAGGTGAGTGACGGTAGTATCTCTTGTCCCTTTGATGTGTGCTCCATGCAGGAACTCATAGGTAGCATTTATTCCTGGCTTTTGCTTCAGCGACTGCAGTGAATATCCAGGAAACATTTATTAAGCAAGTGTCACGGGCCTCTCTTTCCCCCCAATGGAATGAACTTCTTTAAGTCAACAGTATGGCTTATCACAACGTCACTGCCTTTAAAGTGCTGCCTCTGTGAACTGGAACTGTCCAAATGGTTTTATTTTCAGTGTCTCCTTTTCCATCGACTTCTAATCGTATGAAAGCCAAGCCCTGGTTGCTAAGGAACCGTATGTATCCTTATGACTGATGAACAGCAGATTTTCTTTCATTCCTTTTGGAAGCACCAGGCCTTTAATATTATTATTCAGCTTAGGTTCACCCTTACATGGGGCAGAGAAGCTGGAAATCAATTAGAGATGGTCGCATTTCTCTCCTTCTCAGAGTAATTGGTGTCTCACCACAAGAGAAGCAGGCCTTTACTTTGAAATATACAAGCTATAGTACTTAACAGTAACAAAGGTCATAGACATGTGGTCTCATCTCCATGAGTAGTTAATGACGAATACCATTTGCATGACTTTTTAAAAAGCATTTGTTTAGGTCTTTTTTTTTTTTGAGACGGAGTTTCGCTCTTGTTACCCAGGCTGGAGTGCAATGGCACGATCTCGGCTCACCGCAACCTCTGCCTCCTGGGTTCAGGCAATTCTCCTGCCTCAGCCTCCTGAGTAGCTGGGACTACAGGCATGTGCCACATGTCCAGCTAATTTTTTGTATCTTTAGTAGAGACGGGGTTTCCCCGTGTTGACCAGGATGGTCTTGATCCCTTGACCTCGTGATCCACCCGCCTTGGCCTCCCAAAGTGCTGGGATTACAGGCGTGAGCCACCACGCCCGGCCAGCATTTGTTTAGATCTAACCATTTATTTGGAAGCTCGTATCATCACATAAGCATTAACAGTTGCATCTATCTGTTTTCTTATGTGGTCGTAATTACCCTGGAATCTTACTAGACCAAATTGGTCAGAAAGAGAGTTTTCTGATTGGTTACCCAGGTCTTAAAACCCTGCAATTCCTAAAAAGATTTTCAAATAACCCATTAAAAAATACCAGGAAGAGTTTAGTTCTCTCTCACAGAGTCCCCCTTTTTGTGTGTGTGAAGCGGTTGCAGTCAGTACAGAATTATATATCCCCTTTCAGGGCTTTGATGTCTGAGATCCTGTTTGATGATCTCCTTTAGTTACTTAGATTCACTTTCTCATTTGTTTCCTTTAATGGAGTTGAAAAACCGAGGAAAGGCCGGGCGCGGTGGCTCACGCCTGTAATCCCAGCACTTTGGGAGGCCGAGGCGGGTGGATCACGAGGTCAAAAGATCGAGACCATCCTGGTCAACATGGTGAAACCCCATCTGTACTAAAAAAAGAAATACAAAAAATTAGCTGGGCATGGTGGCGCGTGCCTGTAATCCCAGCTACTCTGGAGGCTGAGGCAGGAGAATTGGCTGAACCCAGGAGGCGGAGGTTGCGGTGAGCCGAGATCGCGCCATTGCACTCCAGCCTGGGTAACAAGAGCGAAACTCCATCTCAAAACAAACAAACAAAAAAAAAAACCCTAGTAAAATAAGTGGCAAATAATATCTCAGTAGAATTACCTTCCTGCCCCCTGCCTCAAAATTACCTGCCTGCCCCCTGCCTCAAAATAAAGAAGACTTTATTTTTGGGTACAAATTAGAAGCACTTTCTGATTTAAAAAAAATTAAGAAAAAAAGAGGATAGAATTAATGCTTTAATAGTAGAGCTTCATTTGTTCGCTCATAATGTGAACTTATTTCTACGGTAAAGGATTTGTCTGGGTTTGTGTGCATCCTTCCATTAATTTCCTCATGCAGCCCCCACGTGGGGATTGGGAACATGGGCTCTGATGCCATGTTCAAGTTCTGATTACGCCATCATTTGCTTTTTGAACAAGACCCTTAGCTAGTTTACGCCTCAGTTTTCTCATTACTGAATATGAGACAATACCAAGTTCATAGAGTTTTAATGTTTCCAGGTGTGTTTGCATAAAACATAACTTTGTGCCTGGTAAAGTACTATGCTGTTACCCTTAAGTCGAGTGTTTGTGCCTTGTTCACACACACACACACACACACCACGCAGCTTTAAAACTCCTACTTGTATGGTCAGGGATAGGGGCTCACGCCTGTAACCTCAGCACTTTGTTAAGCCAATGTGGGAAGATTGCTTGGGTCGAGGAGTAACATAGGGAGACCCTTGTCTCTACAAACAAAAAAATGAGCCGTGCGTGCTGGCTCACCCCTGTAATCCTATCACTTTGGGAGGCCGAGGTGGGTGGATCACCTGAGGTCAGGAGTTCAAGACCCGCCTGGCCATCATGGGGAAACTCCATCTTTAAAAAATATAAATAAATAATTAAAATTTAAAAAAAAGAAAAAGAACTTTAAATTAGCTGAGCATGATGGCACATACCTGTAGTCCCAGCTACTTAAGAGGCTGAGGCAGGAGGATAGCTAGAGCTCAAGACTACAGTGAGCTGTGATTGCACCACCATACTCCAGCCTGCAGTGAGACCCTGCCTCAGATCAATCAGTCGATCAATCAATCACCTACTTGCATAGAAACAAAATATACTATTAAAAGTCTATGGCTATCTCTTAATATATTTAAATGATCCTGAGTACCTCTGATAGTCTCTCAGACAAGATTGAGTTCTTCATGGAATTTGAATTTACAGTTATTGCAAGTATTTACCAGTTCATACTGGCTTTTCCAAATATTTTTATTTGGTGATTTTTATCTTGTCCTTAAATATCATAAGCTATCTACACAACAGAGAAGCTTACACAAACTTCTAATCCAAAGCAAACCTTTATTATTTAATATTCTGCTTCTTTGTAAATAGTTTACATTTCTATCACATCTAGATAAACATAAGACAAAGACTTGCATTTACCTAGTTTTATCCAATTCTGGGAAATGGGGGCACCCGTGCTAGTAATAGAGGGTTTAGTTCACATTCATGTACTTGCCTATAGCCTTACCTGGTCCTCGAGCTTGATGCTGTTTGAAGAAAATACAAAGAGATTTTGAAAATGAACCTATAATGCGGAATTTTGTTTTACAGTTAACTTGAGCTGAATTTGTATGTGCATTATGTTAATCTTAACATATTTGTGGCCTACTTCATACTTAGTATTGTAGAGACTTAAATATGAGCAATAATAAATTAGTACTTATGGCCAGGTGTGGTGGGTAACACCTATAATCCTTGCACTTTGGGAGGCCATGGAGGAGGGATCACCTGAGGTCAGGAGATCGAAACCAGCCTGATCAACGTGGAGAAACCCCATCTCTAATAAAAATAAAAAGAATTTTAAAAAATGAGCACTTATAGGGTACCTAGTATGTAAAAGCACACTATGCATATTAACTTTTTCAGTCCTCATAACCACCATGGAATAAGAGGATCTCTAGCTTAAAAGAACAAATTAAAAACTAGGAACAAATAACTATTCAACAAAAACATAAGCCCTTATGAAGCTTACTGTCTAATTGATGGGACAGGCGTTTGTTAATCATTGTGTGAATAAATATGTACACTGTAAGGCAGGGGTATCCAATCTTTTAGCTTCCTGGGGCCACATTGGAAGAAGAATCATCTCAGGGTCCACGTAAAATACAAGCAGTAATGATAGCGGATGAGCTAAAAAAAAAAAAATCACACACAAAAATTCTCATGATGTTTTAGGAAAGTTTATGAATTGTGTTGGGCCACATTCAAAGCTGTCCTGAGCCACCTGGGCTACATGCACCTGTGGGCCCTGGGCTCGACAAGCATCCAAGGAAAGCCAGGGTCTGAGCTGGTTTTGGGAGCAGGAAAATCTTTCCTCAGATGTGACGTTTGATCTTTGGTCTACAGGATAATTAGGAGTTGCGTAGTTTTTTTTCCTGACCCCAAATATGTCATTCTAACACCAACTAACTCTGACCCCAGTAGGTATCACATTCTAACACTACTCACAGTTAGTGCGGACCCCACCAATTAAGGGCTCAGTCTCACAAGACTGCCCCCCGCTTCAGACTTCGGACACTGGCTGC